AGAATGGACATGAGTTCAAAACCACTGTTATAAGGCTTTTCAATAATATCCTAAAAAAGGCCGATAAAATAAATGAGACCTATGAGGATATGAAAAGGGAGCAACTAGAAATAATAAGGGATCAACTAGAAATAAAAAGGGATTAACTAGAAATAAAGAAAACATTGTCTAAAATAAAAAATATTACACAGAGTCCTAAAAACAGACTGGAAGATCACAAGAATCAATACAAAGATTTAGAACACGAAGAGCCATAGGACACTCCTCTACAAAAGCAAGAAAATAAGAGAATCCAGAAAGTTGAAGATAGTGTAAGAGACCTCTGGGACAATTTCAAGCGAACCAACATCAGAATTATGGGGATCCCAGAAGAAAAGAGAGAGCAAAATACTGAAAGAATACTGGAAGAAATAGTGACAGAAAATTTCCCCCACCTGGGGAAAGAAATAGACTTACAAGTCCAGGAAGTCTGCAGAACCCCAAACAAAAGGAATTCAAAGAGGACCACACCAAGGCACATCATAATTAAAATCCCAAGAGCAAAAGACAAAGAGAGAATATCAAAAGCAGCAAGAGAAAAGCAGGTAATTACCTATAAAGGAGCACCCATATGATTGTCAGCTGATTTCTCAACAGAAACCATGCAGGCCAGATGAGAATGGCAAGAAATATTCAAAATGATGAATAGCAAGAACCTACAGCCAAAAATACTCTACCCAAAGCTATCACTCAGAATTGAAGGCCAGATAAAGAGCTTCACAAATAAAAAAAAAGCTAAAGGAGTTCATCACCACCAAACCAGAATTATATGAATTGCTGAAGGTGGTTCTTTAGGAAGAGGAAGAAGATAAAGATAAAAATTATGAACAACAAATACGTAACTATCAACAAGTGAAACTAAAAACCATGGCAATTAAAAAATCTGATAAACAATATTAACTGGTGAATATAATAGAATCAGAAGTATGGAAGGGGAGTGGACTGAGGATTCTTGGGGAAAAGGGGAGTGGGGGTGCGGGAAGAGACTGAACAAAAAATGTGCACCTATGGATGAGGACAATGGGTGATGGGGAAAGGACAGAGGTTGGGGTGGGAACCCGGTGGAGGGGAGCAATTGAGGGGGGGGGAGAGGAACACATTTCTAATAATCTGAACAATAAAGATTTTTAAAAAATATTTTTATTGATTTTGTACAGAGAGGAAGGGAGAGAGATAGAGAGCTAGAAACATCGACGAGAGAGAGAGTCATCGACCTGCTGCCTCTTGCACACCCCCAACCGGGGATATGCCTGCAACCAAGGTACATGCCATTGACCGGAATCAAACCCGGGACCTTTCAGTCCCCAAGCTGACGCTCTATCCATTGAGCCAAACCGGTCTCGGCTGAACAATAAAGATTTATTAAAAATTTTTTTTAAAAAATTAAAAAATCAATAAAATATATATTTTTAAAAAGAGTGCAGCCCAGCTGCACTACAGCCCCTGCTCTCACACACGGACTGTGCTGCTTCTGGATCATAGTTCACTGCATCTTCAACTTCAGACTTACACACATTTTCAGTAGTTTGCAGTATATCTCCCTTATTTTTTCAGTAATAAAACTAAAAATCTACAAATGACTTTCCGAAAGAAATAACTGAGTTTAAAAAGAGGAGGCTGAAGTCCTGATGCAAAATGAGCCTCAATATATTTAAATTTCTCCTTGTGTTTGATGAGCAATCTCTAAGAAATTGATCACAAAACACTGTTAATGGTCAATATTGGGAGATGGGACTGTGGTTTGAATTACTTTATTTTTATTATGTTTCCTAAACACTTCCTAGTGAGGTTTGAGTGACTCATTATTGAACACTATATTGAAAAAGGCCCATAAAACCTAAAGAAAGTTGGAGAGTCCTAACTGGTTTGGCTCAGGGTTCAATTCTGGTCAAGGCATGTACATTGGTTGCGGGCACATCCTCAGCTGATCATGTTTCTCACTCCCTATCCCTCTCCCTTCCTCTCTTTAAACAACCAATAAATAAATAAATAAATAAATAAACAAACAAACCAGTAAGTAAGTAAATAAATAAATAAATATTTAAAAAAGCAAGTTGGGGAAAGCCCGTGACTATGGCCTTCTGGGGAGCATGAATACAAATTGCTAAGTAACCTAGGAAGGACTTTGCTAAGGAACCTAGGAAGGACCTTGGTAGAAGAGTCCATTTGAAAACGACGTGTTTCTGTTCACAGAGGGAACTGCGCCCTGGCCACTGAAGGAACAATTGGGCCCCAAGAGCTGCCTGGTTCTCTCGGTGTGGGAAGACAGTGCAGACGGAAAGGGCTGCTGGCCAGAGAAACGGGGTGGGTGGGGGGGGGGGGACGACGACATTGCGGAGGAACAGCCGTGGTTTCCGCCCAGGGCCGGGGAGCCAGAGGGACCAGGCCCGGGAAGGCTGACTGGGTCGCGAGGAGGGTCCTTAATGGAGGGACCGCGGAAAAACTCGGGGGAAGTGGCCCTCGGAACCCTAAACTCGGAGACCTATATCCTAAACACAGAGAGCAGCGGAACAGGCGCACAGGAATGACGTAAGAGCCCGTTCTGCGCGTTCATTGGTGAGTTCTGGGCATGCGTACTGACGCGCAGTGAGGTTTCTGCCAGCTTCTCTGCCAGCACCTGTTGGAGTTCAGTCTGGATCCAGCTGCAAACTATCAGCTGGGGGACCGGGCAGGCGTTTGGAGATTCCTGTGGCCCTGGCCGCTGCTCCGCCCACCAGGAGGCTTGTCCCCGTGCCTGGCGGCACCCTACCGCCGCCCCAGCTTGTGACACACTGGTCTCCCGTGGCCCTCGGTCCTCTCAGCCCTCACCCTCAGAACCCCCTGGGACCTCAGGGCACAGGAGCCCGGCATGGACAACCTGGGGCCCCGCTGCCCTTCAGAAGCGCTCCCGCCGCCCAGCCGAGCATCTCCCTGCCCAAGGTCATGCCCGGGTTCCAGGAAGCTCAGGGCCCTCCATGATGTCCTTTCTAGCATTCCCCTCTCCTACCACTTCAACACCCTCCCCTGGAGGTCTAGCGCCTTCCCTTCCTCCAATGCATCTGCTTAGACAGCCCTGACCCTCTCTGGTGTCTCCGTGCAGAGCCCACAGCCTCCTCCGCCTTCCACCGGGCCTCTTCTCACCCAGCCCACCCCGGTACACATTCGCCCCAACACAACTCTCCTGCTTCCTTCACCACCCTTCCTGCTCTCCTCTGTACTCCATAGGGACACAGCCCTGCTTGTACCTGAGCATCGATGAGAAAAATACAAACCTTAGTGAACTGTTTATCTCACTGCGTAACCAGCGGGCATTGCCTCTCACGTTCCCTCGCATTCTGCCTACACCACTACCTTCCTCACTAGCAGTCCTGCTCCATCCCAGTGACCTCCCCTACGACTGCCAGCCATACACAGGTGCCATGAGGTCGAGCTTCTCAGTGTTTCCCAAACCCTGTGGACCTGTTATTTCGGTGACCCTGTCTGCTTCCCCTGAGCACACTGCTCCGGAGTGCAGCAAGACCACCTGTGCTCGGGGTCTGTGCCTCGCACCTGCACAGGGACTTTGCTCCTGGACTTATGAGTCGTCTCCTAGTGTCACCTGCTCTTTGCTCACTGGACTATCCCACACCCAATGGGGGAATCCCAACCTCTGTCCCACGCGTCATTTTGCAGCTTTTCATTTCAAAGCCAACTGCTTTCCTGAGACCATTTACACCCTCTTCAATACCACTCCTTTTGCCCATCATTCCACTGTAACCGTCTACTCAAGGCCACCGCTAATTCTCATAGTTTCTGACCCACAATCCCATTATCGTACTCACCTCAGGAAACTCATCAGTCGGTCACATTGGCCACCTGGGACCACTGCATTCTTGGTCATTCTGTTGTGTTTAGTGTTTTTGAGGGGAGGGTTATGTGGCCACGGTGCTCACATTGTCTGGGACAAGGCAGACATTGCACAGTATGCCACTGACCTGACAGCGCGTGTGAAGTCTTCAGTCAGCATGACAGACAATCCCCAGAGGAGAGTGTCCATTGCAGTCCCAGGAGCACGGCCCACAGAAGCAGAGACGGGGAAGGAGCACAGCTCAGACAAGGGAGGTGAGTCAAGACGCAGAGAGGCTCCACGTAAATGGACCCAGAAGGCGTTGTGCTCAGAGAAATAAGTCAGAGAAAGACAACTACCTCGGACTGCACTCACATACGGAATCGAAAGCACAACACACATGAAAAAGCAAAGCAGAAACAGACTCAGACACAGAGAACAAGATGGATGGCTGCCAAGGAGGGGGGGGTGGGACTGGGTGAAGAAGGGAAGGGACTGAGAAGTACAAATTAGTCGTTAGAGTCATGGGACTGTACTGTACAGCACAGGGATTATACTTCAAAATGCTGTAATGAGTGTGTGTGGTGCCAGGAAGGTGCTGGAGATTGGGGAGAACACTTTGTCAAGTACATGATTGTCTGACAGCTAGGCCAGTGGTCAGCAAACTCATTAGTCAACAGAGCCAAATAACAACACTACAAGGATTGAAATTTCTTTTGAGAGCCAGATTTTTAAACTTAAAATTCTTCTAATCCCACTTCTTCAAAATAGACTCGCCCAGGTCGTGGTATTTTGTGTAAGAGCCACACTCAAGGGGCCAAAGAGCCACATGTGGCTTGTGAGCTGCAGTTTGCCAACCACGACACTAGGTGGCAGACCTGCGACTATACCAAGCCATACTGAATGTGAACTGTGAGGAAAAACAAATGTAAAGAGGTGTCCTTCCCACAGAGACCACCTGGGGCGCCGTGAGCCACAGAGGTGCGTCCTGGTTCCCCTTCCCCATCATCACAGACTCACAGGCACACAGGCTCCTTCCCCATGTGGGAGGAAGGGAGGTGTGGAGGAGAGACCCGAGAGCGAGCATTCTCACTGAGGTTCCTGAGCATCTGTACACCCGGACCACTCCCATTCTGCATGTTAGCTCAGCCAGCAGGTCAGAAGCAAGGGCCGGGGCCTTTGTCCCTCACACACCTGTTCAGAGGCGGCACTGCTGGTGAAGACCAGCACAGCCGGGCAGAACACACAGACCAAAGGGCCGGTGCCCTCAGAGCAGCACCTGTGAGTCTGGGTTGTCAGCACGCCTGCCCCAGCCTGCCCACGGGCTGCCCTGAGCCCACCTCGCAGTCGGTGCCCTGAGAGAGGAGACCTGGGGGCCTGGCCTCCTCCTGCCTCTGACCAGGACAGCTTGTAGCCTGCCATAGACGGATCCTAAAACAGATCCCAGCCAGAGGAGAGGCCGCACAGACTCACCGAGGGCAGGAGCTGGTGAGGGTGCCACCGAGGGCAGCCCGGCCTCCTGCAGGCCGTCCCGGCTTCCACAGGCCACGCTGGGCTCCTTCTCTTCCATCACGCCAAGGCGGCGTCCTGGAGCTGGGCTGCAGAGCCGGGTTCTGAGCCAGGAAAGGGAGCCTGGGGAAGGCGCATACAGTCAGCCTCTTGTAGGAAGAAAGCACGGTTTCCCTCCTCATTCCTCGTTGGGTGAACCGTGCCCCGTCTTCCCTGAGCGGAGGTCCCTGGGAGCAGGGCCCGCAGAAGCAGAGATGTGGGAGGACCGCCAGAGCTGCACACAGACCCAGAGCGACTCCCAGGAGGTCCTGCCCAGCCCGCTGTCCTGGGGGAACCTGTTATGCAAGGGGACCTGCCCCCGGTCCCTCCACATCCCGGCCCGAGCCCAGGCCCTGCCTTTGGTCCGGGGAGAGCAGCCACCGAGCCCTCCCAGTGACTGACAGGGCAGGTCCCAGGGCTCCTTCTGGGCAACTCAGGTGCCCCCCGGCCCCCAGAGTGCGTTCCCACAGAGGAGCGCCCACAGAGTCCTGCCCGGAGCGCCCACGGAGTCCTGCCCGGCCACCAAGTGAATGCCACAAACTGTGCCTGTGGCAGCTTCCTGTCCCTGGGATCCTGTGGTTCTCGCAGCTCAAAAAACCGTCCCCTCTACCCTGTCCCCTGCTTAAGGGGACAGGGGTCTGAGGCCCTGGAGTCTTTCAGCTGGAAAGCAGGGACGTGTCCCAAAGAAGCTGTGGAACCCTGCTCTCTCTGCCTGGAGGCTGAGGGCCCATGTGTAGGAAGGGCTGGGGTCTTCCGTTTTCAGTCGCAGTCCACCTCATCCCCCGCCCCCATGTGTCTCAGCTCTTCCTACCGCCCTCAGCTCCCAAACGGGGAAGAAGCCTGGGAAGAACACGGCTCCTGCAGATTCCTGAGTTCTTAGGGTGCCGGCTGTGGCCAGGTAGCAATGGCGAACACTCAGGGACTGGACCCTGTGCCCCCAAACCTAAGAGCTCCTGCCAGTTACCCCGGGTGGCCTGGGCCTGTGGCCTCAGGAAGATGCTGCAGCCTCGCCTCATGTTTCTGCTGCACTCTGGCCAGCCACCAGGCCGCTGTGAGGTCTGTGAGGAGATGCCCGCCGGGACCTGACTCACAGGGAGCTCCTCTCTGCTGCCCCAGGGCGCCCTCTGGTCCTCGTCTCAGGGCCCCGAGCACAGCCTCCTCACCCGCAGGTGGGAGTGACCGGGCCAGTCTCATGCGCAGGCCCGAGACTGACAGACGCTCTACATCACCCGCAATCAGGTCCCAGGCCGGGCAAACCTGCCCAGCTCTCCTGGCTCCCTGCGCCGCTCTGGTCCTGAAACTGGGAATGTCTTTGAGAAGCCCTTCTGTCTGAACTCGGTGGCCACTCAGGCCCATGACGCCAGCTGCCGCCATCACCCCAACCCAAGCCCTGGACCCCCTGCCCCCATCACCGGCCGGCTGTCTGGTCCTCCGTATAAGAGCTTCCCTCTCACGCACCTGTGCCCAAACTGTCCAGTTCTCTCCCCTTGCTGGCTAACCCAGTCTTGGTCTCCCTGATGGACGATGGCAGCTTTCACTTGGAAGCTGCTGTCACTCTCCCCACAGAGCCCCATGGGCACAGCGGTGAGGCCGGGAGCAGGAGGGACATGGTGTCTTCCCGCAGACCCAGAGCTGCCTGAACCCTGCTGTGCACGCCTCACCTTCACCCCCCTCCCCCAGGCCCCTCCAATGTCTCCTTCACAGTCTCCCCTGCACCGCCTCAGGGTCTCAGGGCCTGGGACTGCGTCCTGTGCTCTCGCCTCTTGTCAGGGGGACACACCCTCACAGCGCGTCCCTCAGTGCACCCCCCTCTGCGTCTATGGCCAGGTCTTGGTTCCCTGAAGCCAAGCTTCTGGGGAGTGTAGGCTCCAGGAGCCGTGTGTTTGCTCACCTCTCATCTCCTCAGCGTCCCCCACCTGGGAGCAGGCCCTTGTAACTTTTCCAAGGCATTCATGTTGCCAAACCAAGTACCCAAGGCTGCCTCGGACACAGTAGGCACTTTCTATCCTCACAGCGCTCTCCTTTCTCATCGTCCTCCCCCTGCCCCCATTTGTTTCCATCTGCACCCCGAGTGCTGACAGCCTGTTGCATCACCAAGCCTACCTGAGGGGTCTCCATGGGACCGCAGCGCCCCTCAGGCCGAGACCTGTGGCACCTCCCTCAGATGGCGCCCAAGCCCCGCCATTCTACCAGTGGCCCCAAACCAGAGTTCCCTGTCTCATGGGCCGCCCTGCCATGTACCCGTCCTTACACCTCAGTCCTAGGGGCACCACTCGGTGTGAGCCCACTCCCCCATGCCTCCCTGGCCCTGCTCTGGAAAGGCCAAACCAGGGTCCCGTGTTCCCACAGGCTGTGCAAATGCCCCGTGAGGGCTCCCTCTTCCCAGTCACGGACAAGACTCTGTCCTGGTTGGGCCGGCCCTGCAGGAAGCACAAGGAGAACCTGCACCTGTAGCGTTCCTGACGCACCCAGATGCTCACCTTCTCCAGGAGCTGACACTGTTTGACCTCCAGGGAGCAGGACGCAGAAGCAGTGCCCCTCGGGGCTGGAGGAGAAGATTGGCTGTGACGTGTCCATGGCTGTGCCTGGAACAAGCTCGGCTCACCTTCCGTTTTCAGCATCAACGTCTGACCTACTTGGTCTGTCCCAGAGAAGAGCACGCATGAACGTAAAAACATCGGGACAATGAAACATGACAATGCCACTCAGCGATGTGAGAAGCCCGAGAGCTGGTCCTGCCACATGGACGGGCATCGTCTCAGCTTGTGGCGGCCATTCCCACAGAACCCTGTGCTCCGCCCCAGACGTGCTCTGCACACGGCCTCACACACGGTTAAAGCGACTAAGCTCAGGGGCCGTGACAGGGGACAGATGCAGTACACAGGTCCTCGGGCCACGTCGGAGGTCCGCTCCTACCGCACGACGCAAACGATTGTCGCTGCAAGTGGGAACCCAACTGCATAGGCGCCTACGTCACTCACGTGGAGCGCACACACAGCAGGAATGAAGTGGAACAGTAAAAAAATTAAAAGAAAGGTAGCAATTCCTGACCTTTACCTGTGGGAAATAAATAATAAAAAACATAAAGAACATATGTACATATGTCGAAATGAAGCAACTTTTTAAAAATAAGTAAACTAGAGGCCCAGGTCATGAAAATTCACGCACTGTGAGGGGGCGGGTCCCTTAGTCTGGCTTGCCTCCTCTCTCAGTCCAGGAGACCCCCATCACACCTCTGCTGCTGCCACTGCCAGCAGGATAGGCTTCAGCCAGCCCTGGGTAGCTGGGCAGCCGCCATCTGAGCCTTGCCTGTGCCTCGGACTGGCCCTAGGTGGCTGGGCAGCTGCCATCCACAGCCAGCCATGGGCTGCTTAGGAGCTGAGGGGACTAGGGGAATCCAGAGGTAGGTGTGTGGAGCAGTGCACCTGCCACCCTGTGGGGCTGGGTGCTGCTATAATATATTGTGGCTGTGGGCACCGCCATCTTTGAGAGTGTGGCAGTCCATTAGAATATGCCGTCCTTATCCGCTGCGAGTGCCATGATCTTTGAGGGCGGGTCATCAATTAGCATATTCCCTCCTTATTGGCTGTGGGCGCCACCACGTCTGCAGCGGTGTGAGGGTCAATTAGCACATTCTCCCCTTTACTAGATAGGACGGGAGATGCCGAAGTAACCTCAAAATGACGCAGGTGCTCCCACGAAATCTGAGGACTGCCTGTCTGTCTGCTAAGCGAGTGCAAGGTGCTATCCTCACAGTTTTGGTCAGGACCACAAGTACAGGCGGCTTTAACACACACGTACCTGGACCGTGGCTTCCTCCTTCCGCGTGCGGCTGAGCTTCAGGAGGAGCACCGCCTTCTTCCGCAGGACGGGTCTCCCATCTCCAGGCCAGGCCTCCTCCCCCGTGCCGGTGGGCTGTGGGCCAGCAGCAGGTCAGGAGGGCAGGTCTTCGGAAGGACTCCCCGTTCCAGGCCAGGCCTCCTCCGGGAGGATGGCCTTCTCCACAGCAGCAGTCTGGGCCTTCAGGGGAGGGAGGCACCAAGGCTCCTGCAGGGGCCCAGCCCAGACCTGCCGACTCAGCCTCAGGGCGGGAGGGGGCACCAGCACCTGTTCTTTTGTTTCTGTATTTTTGAGCTGTATACGTTACGTATTTTTTTATTGTGTAAGTGTTAAAACAGAGGATCCGACAGGGGAGGCACCGCTGTGGAGGGGAAGCCTGAGTGCCCAGTGCCTCCCCTGTCCCGGGTTCAAATCCGACCCCTGACAGAGCAGCCATGCCTGCTGACTCTGTGTGATGTGTCCTGCCTTTGGACACTTGTCCGTGCACATTGCTTACCCTGCCCTCACACCCGGAACCGCCGCTGGGACTGAGGGTGCTCACTGACCACCCTGCCCTCACACCCGGAACCGCCGCTGGGACTGACGGAGCACACTGACTACCCTGCCCCCACACCCGGAACTGCTGCTGGGACTGTGGAGGGTGCCCACTGACTGCCCTCCCTTCGAACCCAGAACCACTGCTAAGGGTGAGGAGGGTGCACACTGACTGCCCTGCCCTCGAACCCCGAACCGCTGCTAAGAGTGAGGAGGGTGCACACTGACTGCCCTGCCCTCAAACCCGAAACAGCTGCTGGGAGTGAGGAGGGTGCACACTGACTACCCTGCCCTTGAACCCGGAACCACTGCTGGGACTGTGGAGGGTGCACACTGACTGCCTTCCCTTCGAACCCAGAACCGCCGCTGGGAGTGAGGAGAGTGCACACTGACTACCCTGCCCTCGAACCTGGAACCGCCTCTGGGACTGAGGAGGGTGCACATTGGACTGAGGAGGGTGCACACTGACTACCCTGCCCTCAAACCCCGAACTGCCGCTGGGACACAGGGTGCTCACTGACTACCCTGCCCTCGAACCCAGAACCGCCGCTGGGACTGAGGGTGCTCACTGACCACCCTGCCCTCGAACCCGGAACCGCCTCTGGTACTGAGGAGGTGCTGTGCCATGCGGTGTCCTGGCTGCCCCACACCCGGCGGCAGAGCAGGGAGAAGGCCCGGCTGGCGGGAAGGGGCAGCGCATCCCCCTCGGTGCAGGCGGGGGCAGTGCGCTGGGTGAGGGGAACGCGCCCTCCCTCGGTGAAGGGGACGGAGCCCTCCCCTGGGTGAGGGGGACAGCGCCCTCCCTCGGTGAAGGGGACGGAGCCCTCCCCTGGGTGAGGGGGACGCGCCCTCCCTCGGTGAAGGGGACGGAGCCCTCCCCTGGGTGAGGGGGACGCGCCCTCCCTCGGTGAAGGGGACGGGGCCCTCCCCTGGGTGAGGGGAACGCGCCCTCCTCGTTGTCTGAGCGCCTTCCTGTGTCATAGGAGCTGAGGCTAAGGGCAGTGGTTGCCAGGGAGACGGGAGCTGGGCCTGCGGGCGGCGTGAGGAACAGGAAAGCCCGGAGTGGACTGTCAGACGTGGGCAGGACAGTGGAGCCTGCCTGGGCTGGAACTGCGAGCTGCCCACCACGTCCACCCGAGGGCGCTGCGCAGGGACACACAGCCACACACAGGGGCACCAGCCGCACACAGGGGCACCAGGCACACACAGGGGCACCAGGCACACACAGGGACACCAGGCACACACAGGGGCACCAGCCGCACACAGGGGCACCAGGCACACACAGGGGCACCAGGCACACACGGGCACCAGCCGCACACAGGGAAACCAGCCACACACGGAGACACCAGCCGCACACAGGGGCACCAGCCGCACACACAGGGGCACCAGGCACACACAGGGGCACCAGCCGCACACAGGGGCACCAGCCACACACAGGGGCACCAGCCACACACAGGGGCACCAGGCACACACAGGGGCACCAGGCACACACAGGGACACCAGGCACACACAGGGGCACCAGGCACACACAGGGACACCAGGCACACACAGGGGCACCAGGCACACACAGGGGCACCAGGCACACACAGGGACACCAGGCACACACAGGGGCACCAGGCACACACAGGGACACCAGGCACACACAGGGGCACCAGGCACACACAGGGACACCAGGCACACACAGGGGCACCAGGCACACACAGGGACACCAGGCACACACAGGGGCACCAGGCACACACAGGGGCACCAGGCACACACAGGGACACCAGGCACACACAGGGGCACCAGCCGCACACACAGGGGCACCAGGCACACACAGGGACACCAGGCACACACAGGGGCACCAGCCGCACACACAGGGACACCAGGCACACACAGGGGCACCAGGCACACACAGGGGCACCAGGCACACACAGGGGCACCAGCCGCACACACACAGGGGCACCAGGCACACACAGGGGCACCAGGCACACACAGGGGCACCAGGCACACACAGGGGCACCAGCCGCACACACACAGGGGCACCAGGCACACACACAGGGGCACCAGGCACACACAGGGGCACCAGGCACACACAGGGGCACCAGCCGCACACAGGGGCACCAGGCACACACAGGGGCACCAGGCACACACACAGGGACACCAGGCACACACAGGGGCACCAGGCACACACAGGGGCACCAGGCACACACAGGGACACCAGGCACACACAGGGGCACCAGGCACACACAGGGGCACCAGGCACACACAGGGGCACCAGCCGCACACACACAGGGGCACCAGGCACACACACAGGGGCACCAGGCACACACAGGGGCACCAGGCACACACAGGGGCACCAGCCGCACACAGGGGCACCAGGCACACACAGGGGCACCAGGCACACACAGGGGCACCAGGCACACACAGGGGCACCAGGCACACACAGGGACACCAGGCACACACAGGGGCACCAGGCACACACAGGGGCACCAGGCACACACAGGGGCACCAGGCACACACAGGGACAGCAGCCACAGGCAGGCACACCAGGCACACACAGGGACAGCAGCCGCACACAGGGGCACCAGGCACACACAGGGACACCAGGCACACACAGGGACAGCAGCCGCACACAGGGGCACCAGGCACACACAGGGACACCAGGCACATGCACGGAGCGGGCAGGCTGCACTCGCACCTGCTTCCTCCTGGCTCTGCACGGGCCGCCTCTGTGGAGCATCGAGGCCTGCAGGAGGCAGGGGTGTGGACAGCACACAGGGCACGGAAGAGGCAGGCAGGGGTCCTTGTCAGGAAAGCAATGGCTGCCCTCGGCCTCCACGGGGGCACATGTGCAGGCACTGGTAACCACCTATGGGGGGCCTGACCGTTAGTGGGCAGTCAGGGCCTGGAGGACATGTGAGGGGCTGTGCCCCTCCCCTCGCTCCAGCTGCTGACCATCTCCACCCCCACGGAGACCTGTGCTCCTGGACATTTCCTCTGCCCACAGACCCATGCTCCTGGGCACCGCAGCCCCCTCCCTGACCGCCCAGCTGGCCGCTGCCCCCGGTTTCCGTCTCCAGATGGACGGACTCTGGGCAGTGGAAACGCTGGCTCGTGTGTGAGGTCACCCGCTCTCCCCAGCATTTCCCGCCCCGGTGCCCTGAGGTCCGGCCTGGAGCCTGACCCGCTGCATGTGTCTGCACATCACAGCTCTGGCCCCTCGGCTGTCCCATGGACCGTCCGCCGTCTCACACGTGGCCCCGGGTCTGCTGTGCCCACCGTGGGTGCGAGGACAGGCCATTAGGTGTGGAGACAAAGGGGTGTCTGCTGACTCCCCGTTCCCCCTGCGGGCCCCTTCCTTCTCTGTGCGCCCCCGTGGGGACAGGTCGGTCGGAGCACCCCCTCAGCCAGCCCCTGGCACCTCCCCAACCCTGGTCATTCCAGCCGTGGTCTCCTGCCCCCCAGCCTCTCAGGGCCCAGGAGGCGCTGTCCATCACCGACTGGGTGTCAGGTCTCCTCTCCCTGCCCACAGCCAGCGAGCATGCAGGGAGGGGCGGACACCTGCAGAGGGCACACGGGGATGTGGCTGGCAGGACAGCTGGCGTGGCTGCCCGCGTGAGGCCATCCCTCTCTGAGCCCTGCCAGCTGGGCCTGGGCCGCCTTCTCCACAGTGTGGCCTGCCCTCCCGCCTCAGAATCCTGCTCCGATGGGCCTTGGGGAAGGAGGGAGTCGGCGGGCAAAGGGCAGCGTGGCCACACTGTGTGCTCCCAGGAAAGACTCCCCGACAGAGAAACGCCATGGTGGCCCGGCTCGTCACCCCACCCCCAATGGCCAGGCGGAAGGCAGCCTGCTGTTCAGGAGGGACAAGCCCGGCTGCCTGACCCCCTCCCCTGGGGCCGTGGGACCAGCTGGCCGGGCCCGGGGCCCCCGCCCTCTGCTCTGCTGCGATCAGAGCCTCAGGATCCAATGACCGTACCTGCCCGCCAGCCTCTTCCGTCTGCAGACGCGGGCGTGTGTGCACGGCTCTGGGCCCACCTGCAAGCACACGGGCAGAAAGCAGAGTTCATTTTCACTCAGCGAACAGGGGCCCCTCCCCATTAGGATCAGGTGGGGGGTGGGGGATAGATTTAATCATTCATGCCTCCTGACACAGAAGGCATTCTGTCCAAACCCCGACGCTTAGTGCCTCCATGACACTTAGTGCCTCCATGACACTTAGTACCTCCATGACGCTTAGTGCATCCATGACGCTTAGTACCTCCATGACACTTAGTGCCTCCATGACATGCAGTACCTCCATGACGTGCAGTACCTCCATGACACTTAGTACCTCTATGACGCTTAGTACCTCCATGACGCTTACTGCCTCCATGACACTTAGTACCTCCATGACGCTTAGTGCATCCATGACGCTTAGTACCTCCATGACGCTTAGTGCCTCCATGACATGCAGTACCTCCATGACGGGCAGTACCTCCATGACACTTACTACCTCTATGACGCTTACTACCTCCATGACGCTTAGTGCCTCCATGACGCTTAGTGCCTCCATTGCAGCAGGCAGGCAGCTGCTGTTCCCCTGCACCCACCCGGGCACCCGGCAAGAAGCAAGAAGGCGTCCACCTGCTCCTTTGATACACTGGGATCTGCCGCTCTGGGACTTCAAGGTGGTGGTCACAGACCTGACCAAGAACCAGCCAGTGTGGGTGAAGAAACCTCAGTTTTATAGTTAGCTTCCTTTAACTTTAGTTTCATTGGGTCCCAGGAGGAAGTTATCCATCTGAACTCCCCCTAAGCAGTGGTCGGCAAACTGCGGCTCGCAAGCCACATACGTCTCCTAAGCTGCGGTTTGCTGCTCAGTTGACTGATGAGTTTGCTGACCACTGGGATAGGGGCTTACTCACAAGGAACAACAACAGCCTGTAATTATTGGAATTGAGAGTCTAGGTCAGTGGTCAGCAAACTCAGTCGTAAACAGAGCCGCAGCTTGCCGACCACTGTCCTAGGGGCAATGCCACTCAGTGGCAGGGAGCAGGGAACCTGTCCCTGCATGTGGGTCCCGTTCATAATGGCGCACAGAAAGACCAACGGTGAACCCCACACCCCTCTCCACACTGCCTTTTCACTGTCTCTTTATTGTTAAAAGTATTGCAAGTGGCCGAAACCGGTTTGGCTCAGTGGTAGAGCGTCGGTCTGCAGACAGAAGGGTCCCAGGTTCGATTCCAGTCAGGGGCATGTACATTGGTTGCGGGCACAGCCCCGGTAGGGGGTGTGCAAGAGGCAGCTGGTCGATGTTTCTCTCTCATCGACATTTCTAGCTCTCTATCTCTCTCCCTTCCTTCTCTCTGTAAAATATCAATAAAATATATTTTAAAAAAAGTATTGCAGGTGCCCCTCCCCCTTTTCCCCATGGACCCCTCCCCACTCCTGGCGATCCCCAGGCCTTCACCCCACTTTATCTGTGTCCCTGGTTTATGCGTATTTTCATATAAGTTCTTTGGTTGATCTCTCCCCCTTCTTCCCTCCGAGGATCGGCAGTCTGCTCCATGCGTCCATGTCTCTGGATGTATTTTGTATGTCAGTTTATTTTGTTCATTGGATTCCACACATGCGTGAGATCATGTGATACTTGTCTTTCTCTGACTGGCTTATTTCACTCAGCATGATGCTCTCCAGGTCCCTCCATGATGTCTCAAGGGTAAGAGACCCTTCTTTTTACTGCTGCACAGTATGCCACAGTGTAAATGTACCAAAGCTTTTTTAAATCCATTCATCTTCTGATGGGCACCTAGGCTGTTTCCAGATCTTAGCTATTGTAAATTGTGCCGCTATGAACACAGGGTACATATATCCTTTCTGATAGGTGTTTCAGGATTCTTAGGATATATTCCTAAAGTGGGATCTCTGGGTCCAATGGCAGTTCCGTTTTTAACTTTTTTTAAAAAATAAATCTTTATTGTTCAGATTATTACAAATGTTCCTCTTTCCCTCCCCATCAATTTCTCCCTTCCACCAGGTTCCCACCCCCACCCTCTGCCCTTTCCCCAACCCCCATTATCCTCATCCATAGGTACACAGTTTTTGTTCAGGCTCTTCCCGCACCCCCACTCCCCTTTTCCTGAGAATCATCAGTCCACTCCCCTTCCACACCTCTGATTCTATTATATTCACCAGTTAATATTGTTCATCAGGTTTTTTAATTCCCTTGACTTTTAGTTTCACTTGTTGATAATTACGTATTTGTTGATCATAATTTTTATCTTTATCTTCTTCCTCTTCCTAAAGAACCCCCTTCAGCAATTCATATAATTCTGCTTTGGCAGTGATGAACTCCTTTAGCTTTTTTTAAAATTATTATTTGTAAAGCTCTTTATCTGGTCTTCATTCTGAGTGACAGCTTTGCTGGGTAGAGTATTTTTGGCTGTAGGTTCTTGCTATTCATCACCTTGAATATCTTTTGCCATTCCCGTCTGGCCTGCATGGTTTTCTGTTGAGAAATCAGCTGACAATCATATGGGTGCTCCTTTATAGGTAACTACCTGCTTTTCTCTTGCTGCTTTTAATATTCTCTCTTTGTCTTTTGCTCTTGGAATTTTAATTATGATATGTCCTGGTGTGGTCCTCTTTGGATTCCTTTTGTTTGGGGTTCTGTGAGCTTCCTGGACGTGTGAGTCTATTTCTTTCACCACGTGGGGAAGTTTTCTGTCACTATTTCTTCCAGTATTCTTTTGGTATCTTGCTCTCTCTCTTCTTCTGGGACCCCCATAATTCTGATGTTGGTTCTTTGAAATTGTCCCAGAGGTTTCTTACACTATCTTCAATTTTCTGGATTCTCTTATCATTTTGCTTCTGTGCAGGAGTGTCCTCTGGCTCTTTGTGTTCTAAATCTTTGACTTGATTCTTGTGATCTTCCATTCTGTTTTTTAGGACTCTGTGTAATATTTTTTATTTCAGACAATGTTTTCTAGTTGATCTCTTTTCATATCCTCATAGGTCTCGTTTATTTTATCGGCCTTTTCTAGGAAATTCTTAAAAAACCTTATAAGCGCAGTTTTGAACTCTATATCCAGTCTTTTCTTTTCCTCCATTTCCTTTGTTTGTGATCTATTTCCTTGTCTCGGCATTTTCACAACTTCCCTGAGTTGGTAGGGTGGCTTTGTGTGCTAAGGTGTCCTATATGGTTTAGTGAGTCAGCCTCCCAGTTACCTGAGGTGGACAGTCTTGGTGTGCCCTTTGTGGGCTGTGTGCACAGTCTTGCTAAGCCTTGCTTGTTGTTGGTATCACTGGAAAGCATTGATCTCCAAGCCAATTAGCTATGAGGATCAGAAGTGTCTCAGCTAGGAGGGTTTCTGTATTCCCCTTGAATGGGGCAGAGTCTCGGGGTGGCACAGACAAGCCTTGGTGAATCCCGCAAGATTGGTTGCAGGCATGCGCACCTCTTTGGTATAGGCACAGACAAGCTTTGGATTCCTGTCTGTCCCTCCCTAGGAGAGTCCTATTAGCGGCAAACGAGAAAGCTAGCCACTGGAAGGGCTTCTGTGCTCCGCTTGGATGGGCTGGAGTCTCTGGGTGGTGCAGACAAGCTTTGGTCAGCCCGTCCCTATGAGGGTCTGGTTTCTGAGTCCCACAGTAATGGCCGCTGGCTTCACACACCTCCGAGAGATCTCTGCCCACTGCTTCCGTTTTTTAACTTTTTGAGGAAATTCCACCGTTTTGTGTAGTGCTTGGACCAGGGTTCCTGTTTCTCCACCTCCTCACCAGCACTTGTCGTTTGCTGGTTATTGATGGTAGCCAATTTGGCAGGCTGAGGTGGTACCTCACTATTGTTTTAGTTGCATCTCTGACGATTAGTGATGCTGAGCATTTCTGCATGAGTCTCTCGGCCATTTCCATGGTCTCTTTGGAGAAGTGTGTACTCAGGTGCTCTGCACATTTTTTTATGGTTTTTGTCTTCCTTTCATTGAATTATATGTGAACTTTATATAGTTTGGAAATTGGCCCCTTATCAGATGTATCACTGGCAAATATGTTCTCCCATACAACGTGCTCACAGTGATTTTGGTCCCGGTTTCTTTGCTGTGCAGAAGCTCTTTATTTAGACGCAGTCAGTCCCATTTGTTTGTTTTCCCAGGTTTCTCTTGCCCAGTGGATTGTAGCAGTGAAAACACTGCCAAGTGAAGTGTCTGATAGGATTGCGGTCTATGCTTTCTCCAAGGATTTTTATGGTTTCTCGTCTTATATGCAAGTGCTCTGTCCACTTTGAGTGAACTCTTGTGTGTGTGTAAGCTGGTGGTCTAGCTTATTTTTTGCACGTGGCCGTCCAGTTTCCCCTCATCATTTCTCTGAGAGATTCGTGAGACCAATCTCATATTGGCACACGTGCCTGCGAGCAGGCCCAGGGCTGCTGCTTGGAGGCCGTTGATGCAGTGGCTCCACAGGCACGGGCATGGCCAGGGCCCTCACACTGCAGACATTTCCGTCCCAGGAGAGCACGTAGGGGGAGACAGAGCCCGGCGTGAAGTGACCGCTGCATCACGGAGCGCTGACTCAGGAGCTGAGCACCAGGGCTGCACAGCCTCCCGGCCTCCGAATGCTGAGGGCATCCCGTTCCTGGCAGACGGTCAGGTCCCTCCTGGGGTCCTGCAGCGCTCCTGCTGAAAGGGTTTCAGTCACAAGCTGGATGAGTGAGTCCTTCGCCCACTGCTTCCGGTTCGGCCCCAAAAGCAGCCCGCCCGGCATTGGTCAGGTGAGGCGCCATGGTCAGCTGTCCTTCAACCGCCGTTCGAGGAGCCTCTGGAACATTCTTCTGCTCTCCTGCCCCCCTCCAGGTGGTGCTTGTCCTCCCCCTGCTGCTGCCGGACAGCCCTATGGCAGCGGGCCGTGCCGTCTGGGACCCAGGCTGAGCCCCAGCCCACAGGGCCCGCAGGAGGCTTTCCCGGGAGGGAGGAGGTGGGGCCCCCTTCCTCTCCTGAGGCAGCCCACCACCATCCGCCCCGGGACCGGCAGTGCCCACAGTCACGCCTAAATCGAACCCG